TTAGAAGCATTCTAAAGTAAAGAGCCCAGTACTTGCAGAAAATATAAAGATAGTAAACCCAAAGAGATAGGTAGACTTCGTGGCGACAAGGATTGACCAGAGTGTACCCTTTCCTTCTCTTTTGGTCAAGGTGTTGACAGCATGATTTACACGGTTAGGTTCCGGTTGGGAGAAGTTGAAACACTTTAAACTAAACTTTCTCTGACCCTGAAGATGAGAGAGAGGGTCGATGACATCATTCCACCCATAATGGGAAAAAAGTTGACCACGTGACAAGAAGAAAACGGAAACGAATAGTGAAACGGAAAAGTCGGTCTCGGCCGGGCCTGCGGACCGGTAGGACGTCTGGCAAATGTCTCTATGGGCCGAAAAAATGTGTTTGCAAAATTGTGAGGAGAATTGGTCTCCCCGTCGAATGGATAGACCCTTTTGACGACGCATGCGGAACGCCGCTATATCGAAGAGAAAGAAAGCAGTTTCAACTGCCACCAAGCCCTTAAACAAAGCACGAGAGGGATAAGAAAGAAAGAAAGAAAGAAAGAAAGAAAGAAAGAAAGAAAGAACAGACCATCTCGAGCGAAAATGTTGTTATACCAAGACGAAAGAGAGAGGGAACGCATTTTCTGCTTGATCGTCAGCAAAGCCCCTAGACGACGAAGAGAGGATGTAAGAAAAGACCTCAAAAGGAGACCCTTATAAAAAGAAATAGAAAAGGAAAAAGGAAAGAAGTAGATATATTAAAAGATATTATTAGTGGAAAAGGACTTTATTCTGAGTTAAGTTGGTTATCGTCATTTTTGTAGTGGCCGTTTTTTTTTTTTATTTATTTTGATCTTTTCCACGATTCCATGTTTGTTAATAAATTTATATGTCCTGTCTCCATTGTTGTGTGTCGCCTACCGTATTTGTTCCTTAATCGATTCCGCTCGGCCGTGTCTGATCAATCGGAAAGAGACCCTTGGGAAAGAAATATATTTTACATAAAAAATGTAAAATGTTAAAAAACAAAATAACACAGATTACGATCTTCCTCTACCTCCGATGTCGATAAGGTTCGAGAAAGGAAGGAGGGGGTTCGTAAAAATATATATACATATATACTTTTACTCGTAGTTCTTCTTTTTGTCCCAGTCTGTTTATTACTCCGCGAATCTCGTTAACATGTTACTAAGTAACCAACAATTCTTCTGATGAGCTGTTGGCTGAAAAAGCTTACCTTTTAGGGAAAAAATGCCGTATATATATATATATATATATATATATATATATATATATATATAATATTATAATTATTTTTGTAAAAATATGATTCCGTCGCTACATAAGAGTTCTCATGTTTCAAAAACAGAAGGTAAAAGCTTCAATTCAATTTTTTTTTAGCTTCTGTTTTCTAAAAATAAAAACAAATATGCTAAAGAACTTCGGATTATTAACCTAACGGTTATTTCCTATTTTTCTACACACACACACACACACACACACACACACACACACACACACACACACACACACACACACACACACACACACACGCACACACACACACACACACACACATACACAGAGTTTTCTGGCCCAATTTAACACTGTCGAATAACTTCTTATATATATATATATATATATATATATATATACATATATATAATTATTTATTTAAAAATATGATTCCAAATCGCGACATAAGAAATCCCATGTTTCAAAACAAGAGCCGAAAACTTCAATATAATTATTTAAATTAAATTGAGTTAAAATAAGCTCTGTTCCATCTTCAAGCGAAAAAATTTCGCTTTTAATTTTTAATAAAATTTTAATTTAAATAATTATATTGAAGTTTTCGGCTCTTGTTTTGAAACATGGGACTTCTTATGTCGCGATTTGGAATCATATTTTTAAATAAATAATTATATTTATGCTCTACTTTTGTATCGAGCACTATTTTTTAAAAATAATAACTAAAATACTAAGGGACTTTGGATTATTTACCTAACCAGTTCCTTCATATTTTCTATATATTTTCACACACACACACACACACACACACACATATATATATATATATGTTCCATGTAGCTTGGGAAATATGTGTGTATATGTGTGTGTGTACTGACTACTTGTGGTGGGATAGTGTGTATGTGCGTATGTGTGTGTATGCGTGTATAAGTACAAATAAGTTTACGAATTCCTCGTAGTAAAGAAATATACGCACGCATATATACACGCATGCTGACAGGAACACGCCAAAATAGAAACAGATCCAAGAGCACATAGAGGTCACTAAAACATTAAAAGATTAAATGCCGATAACTACTCGCTGGACAAACCTTAATTGTTTTATGACCCTTCACGCAGAACTCTTCATTGACAATTCTAGAAAGAAAATTCGGATTTAACACACAAACAGAATGTCTCATATCGAGAATATTCCACATTGAACATGAAGAAAAATTAATTATTTTTAATAATATGTAAAAATCTCCACTTTCACCTGAAGACGGTTGCGAGACCAGACCAGAAACACGTGTCGTGAAATTATATAAAACAAAGTATAATATTTTTCTCAATAAATCCACATTACAACCAAAAAACGTTTGCGGCACCCCTCTTTTTTTTAATATACATACTTTTCTCTCGTTGGAACCACTACAACATATTTCTTTTTATATATATATATATATATATATATATATATATATATATATATATATAGAGAGAGAGAGAGAGAGAGAGAGAGAGAGAGGTAAGATGAGAATGAATAGAGTACAATTCCAACATTCATGACATCTAATTTAAAACGGGGCTCAGTACGAAAGTAGAACAATATTATTTATTTTAGGATATTTCATTAAAAACATGTCAAAATCGCTACACAATTGCAGTCGTGTTTCGATTCATATTATCATCTCCTCAGGCGATTGTAAATTACTGGTGAGTGAAGGATTTATTTAGATTTAAAAGCAAAATACAACCTAAATGTAAATAAACCGTTCACTCGCCAGTAATTTACAATCGCCCGAGGAGATGCATTGAAACACGACTGCAATTCTATAGCGATTTTGACATGTTTTCGATGTAATATCCTAATATATATATATATATATATATATATATATATATAAAGAAAGAACAGTAAGTTATATAATCCAGTGTTCTTATAGATATTTTTATTTTTACAAAATAGTGCTCAATGTAAATTTAAAGAGCATTAATATTATAAATTAATTAATTTAAAATATGGTTTTTCCACTACACAGTTCTAAACATGTTTCAAAAATGGAAGCTAAAAGCTTCGAATTTAATTTTGTAATTAAATCAAAGACATTAGTTCAATTTCATCCTCAAGCGAATTTTGGAGTAAGTTATTTTTTTAAAATTACTGGGTTTTAAAGGCACAGCAAAAAATCATAATTCACATTTCCAAGGATACAGAGATATCTATTCATCCAGACGAGGGGTGGTTGCGTGTTCATTATCGCTGTAGTTTGTTGTATCAGTTATTAGTTACGTTTTGGTAGGGGTAGGGATGTATTTTTCCATGAATTCTGACATCCGTTAAATGCATGTCGTCTGGATTTTTTTAATAAATTATTGTTAACGGCAAAAATTCTTACGGCATTTTTTTCTATTTGTATTTTTAAAGATTTTTGGGTGGTGTTTACGTTTCATTTAACTACGATTTTAAAAATATTTTCACTTTTAATTTTTAATATACTATATTTCTTTTTAAAACAAGTAAATGTATTAGAATTACTTACAGTATGTAAAATTATTTTCACATCAAGTATAAGTATGTATATTACCAGGTCACAATTTTTAAAAATTTATATTTAAATATTATTTAAGTAAAATTTATGACACTGACGGCAAAAATAGCTAATTCATTTCTCTGATTTAGTAAACTTTTATTTTTTATAAACTTAGTAATATATAGTTTCTCATGTAAGTACAAAGGACATGGGTCATTTAATGGCCTACATATTCTAGCTTTTCATCTTAATTTCATTTTACTGTAGGTGTTTTATTGAATTCATTTAAGTGCCTGTAGTACTTTGAGAGAGGTGTTTAGGTTAGAATACGTTTTATTTAACTACAATTTAAAAATATGTTTAGGTTAGAATTTGTTTTAACTATGGGAGAGATATCTGCGAAATGTCGTCAAGCTTTTGAAGGTTGTCCTGATGTTATATGGACCGCAGATCCTTTGTATTTTCTCTGATAACCCCTTCACATAAGGCAGGCGGACTGTTTTCTGGGTATTGTTGTCCTCCTCCTCTTGTACCCGCCTATCACAGTTTTTGGGAGCTGCTGCCATGTATCCAGGGTAGTTGTTACGTTGTAGAGTACTAATTATACTGACCAATTCAATTGTCATACGGCACAGTGGATAAAGGCGTTGGTTAGATCCAGTGACAGCACCCAAAGAGTGTGAGTTCAATACCCGGCTAAAGCGGTGGAGAACTTTCAGCGGGAAAATTAACAGGAGTAACTGATAACTGACATCGATTAAAACATAGCACGTGGAACTAGAACAGTCTACCCCAGTGAGCGAAATAAAGTGTTCAGTTCGACTTTCCAACCACCTGAAGAAGGCCGGAGCGTACAACGGCCCAAACGTTGTAATAAATATGGCGACAAAGATGAGAACAATAGTGTGAATAATGTAAATAATGTACATAATACCTCATTTCAGAAATATAGACAGATATATATATTTCTGTTCGTCAGTTGGTGTATGCCTGCATAAAGGGCAGGTGCATACTATCTCCAAGCCTCTCGAACGGGAGGGGGGGCATGCCTGATTGAGGTCACCAGGCAGAGCTTAGTGACCCTTGCTATCTTATCAACGTTTGCTTTTTTTCTATCTACATTTATATACGTTACAAATTAAACAAATCGCAGCTGACATTTCATGGATGAAAATTTTCGCGGATTTTGACGTCATTTTTGGGATTTTTTTTCGTCCAAATCCGTGAATCTGTTTTTCTCATGGTAAGTATCGAAAAAATACTACAGAAAATTTACTATTTTTTATCCATAATGTTAAATGTGTTCAATTTTTTCAACTTTTCAACAAAAAAATCTCAAGTTAATGTAGGTACCTCCATGAGATCGCTAAAAAAAGAGCATAGCATGATGAAAAAGACGCCAAATTTGACGAAAACAAAATTTTATCGTCTAAATGTTTATATTATTATTAAGAGGAAAGATCAAAGTTTATTTTAATTATTTTTTACATTTTTTCCTTCTTTTTAGAACATTCTAAATTTTGATTAAAAAAACGTTGTTTGTCTTTGTATCACCGTAACCAGTAAATTATTAGCACGTTTTGTTTGGTGTGTGTGTGTGTGTGTGTGTGACACACATTCATTTGGAAAATCTTGCAAAAATAAAAATAATTGTCGGATGTTTATGAGACTTTTAGAAACTACTCACAGACGATCGAAATATTATAAATATGTTGTTTTTTTTTTTATTAAAGTCATGGCAGAAATATTTTTTTAATATTTATTAGCACCCCGCATAACTAATTTTATGAAAACGCTAGAAATTCGATCGCGTCAGGTTTAGTGATTACAATAGTTAAAAGCAGAAGGCTTTGAGGAATGCAAATCATGTTTTTTTT